CTGGCAGAGCCACTCTTTGGCTTGCATATAATACTTTCTTTCCTTAATAAAAAGTCAATGAGTTTATGCAACTTCGTCCTTAAAACTAGCCTTTTGTTCACAAACAAAAACTGCATATTCTTATTGTAATGGGCGTCAGAGCTGATATAGCCACTAAGTTCAAACTCCTTATATTTAAAATTTATTTCTCTTAACTTTTGGGACTTACCTAGTCCATAAATTTGACAAAATCGGGAACATATGTCTTTGGTTTTAGGGAGCTGAAGCACCATAGAACCAGAAACATCATTTCTCAAAGAGAAAGAAATGGAAGGGTGCATGAGTGAGAGAGCTTCTATCCTCTGCCTAACCTGCCCAAACTCCAGTCTAGGATCCATGCATTTCCTCCTTACAGGTAACTGATAAAATAGGTTATATACCGTCACTGTGGTCCCAGCACTTGGTCTGGTCAAGTCAGCTTCTAAGGCACTCAGGGCTTTTCCATTCTGAAACAGTTTCACAAAGGTTTTCATTGCCCCGCTTTTCTTGGATGAGATTTCCACAGCACTGGCCATGTCAGCTATACTGGCCAAGGCCTCCCCTCGGAAACCATAAAACCTTGGGTTCTCCAAGTCCCGTACGGAGCTGCATTTACTAGTGAAATAACGGTTTCCTACCTTGTCCACGTCATCCCTCCCCATCCCAAACCCGTTGTCGATCACTTGGATTTGGAAGGTTTCCATGTTCAGCCTCGTAGCCACACATTTTGCTTCAGCGTCAATACTGTTGAGGGCAAGCTCCTCCACACACTGGCCCAAGGAGCAGACAGCCAAACCAGAACGCAATTTGGCTTGCACTTCCGCTGACAAGCACTTGATCATGGCAGGTAGAAAGCTGGTGAGAATGCCAGACAAGGGTTTCCTTTTGTGACTGTAAATAAATTGCCTTTGGGAGAAAAATAAAAACAAAAACATACACAGATGAAAGCTTCAGGGTTACGCGGCATTACCCATTTTCCTGAGGCATTATAAAAAATGCCATTTGATGTAAATGAAATTTCTTATTAAACCACATTATAAAACAAAACAAAACAAAACAAATGACAGCTCTGACCTCTAGGCAGATCACACAGCTCAGGTTTGATGCAATGGACTTAAATTAACATCCAAAGCAGCTCTGATAATTTCATAATTTTCACTGACCCCGTCTAAATCCCACATGCCCCAAAGTGAAATCATAATCACATTTGAAGTTGACCTATGAAGATAGTGTTCAAAATTCTAATCACTTTACCAAAAACAGATGCCCAAATTCCACTAACATTAGCTAGAAATTATTCACACACAAAAGTCCAAGCAAGTTTCATAACATTTATACATTACACAATAACCATGACTTTTAGAAAAAACTCATAATAAAGTACTAACGACACTGTAATAAGAAGGTGAAAGAACAGGAGGAAATAAAGACAAATTACTGTATGAAGAAAAGATGGGATTAAGATATTATTATTAATAATAATTACTATTTTATTATTATTATTATTATTATTATTATAGTTAAGTATAGGTGACCTCAAGGGAAAGAGACTGGAAATGGGAAAGGATAAGGCAGGAAAATTCTTTTTCATTATAAGCCTTTACAATGGCTACAAACTACCTCGGAAATAACAATGATGGTAGGGGGCTGTCTAACCTGGGTTTTTTAAATTTCTCCCAGTAAAAAAAGAAAAATTTAAGATTATGGTGCAATTAAAGGTCCTGGTTCTTCTCTATAGGTAAGAGCGCAGCATAGTCTAGACCTCTCTCAGGTGGAAGGGCTGGATTTTCAAACCCAGGGAAAATCCGACCTGGAAGTGCAGCTCTGATTATTTCTATGGCAACGCAAAGCTCTGAGGGGCGGGACCGCGGCCGCAGGCCCCTCCCTCCAGGCTCAGCCTCCGCCCGGCCCCTCCCTCCAGGCTCAGCCTCCGCCCGGCCCCGCCCCGACCCCGCCCCTGACTAAGCTCAGGCGGCCCCGGTGTGCGCGCTGCGGCGAAGGGGGGCCGGAGGCAGGGGCCTCCGGAAGCCCCGGCGCAGCCGGCTCCGAGCGCTTGCCCGCGGGGACGTCACGGCCCTCCTGGTGCTAGAAGAGCTCCCGGAACCATCCTTTCGTCGCGTGCTTTCCCCAAGTCATCTCAAATCACCCTTTACCAACTCGAGATACCAACCGCCTCGGATGCCGGCTGTGCGCGCATTGGCTCGCGAGGCTCGTGCACGTGCGAGCCGGGAGCATGCGCTTCGGAGATTCGCCGAGAAGTCCCTGCCTCCAGACACTTCAGTGCGCACGCGCACGCTTTGAGTCTTCCCCCTCCTCTCCTCCCCGCACCAGGCCTTTTCACACTGGTGCTCCCGAATTCCCAATCCTTATCCCCTTTTAGCATGGCATGAAACACCGTTTCTAGTCATTTTTACTTTTGTTCTTGTTTCCTCTTTCCCGTTTCTCCTTTGCACGCCCTACCATTTGATTCAATGTATTATTTGCTCACTGTCTTCTCTCCCTAGAATGAAAGCCATGTGAAGGTAAGGATTTTGTCTGTTTACTGCTGTATCCCCATGGCCAAGAACAGTGTCTGACCTATGTTAGGGACTCAATGAAGGAATAAATCCACAGCCTTGAGTCTTTTCAAATGAAAGCGTTTAAGAGCTGGGGAGACTGAGAAACTAACTCAGTTCTCTTAATTTACGGACCAGAACACCTAGACTCCCTGCATTGCCTTTTTTGGGTGTTTTCCTAATACACCACAGCTTCAGAATGAGAGCGGAACTCTTAAGAACACGGTGAAAATAGGTGTTTTGGGCATCATTACCAGTATTTACTCTCATTTTCACTGAAACCTTATACATTTAAAAAATATATTTTATTGTTTTTTTTAGAGAGAGAAAGGTAAAGGGAGTGAAACTTTAATGAAGAGAATCACAGATAGGCTGCCTGCTGTAAGCCCCCTACTGAGGATCAAGCCTAGGACTGGGCATGTGCCCTGACAGGGAATCAAACCGGTGACTTCATGGGTTGATGCTCCACCACTGAGCCACTCTGGCTGGATAAAACCTTATATTTTTAAAACTTGTAATTTGTGACAAATTTGTCAAGCCCAGGAAGCATTCTATGTATACCAAACCAATCAGGAGATTTTCCAGGGCTAATGAAGCAAAATCCTGAGTATTGCTTATATCAGTTTGTCACAATAAACCACCACAGACTGGGTGGCTTAAACTACAGATATTTATTTTGTCACAGTTCTGGAGGCTAGAAGTCTGTGATCAAACTGTGAGACATGTTGATTTCTTCTGTGGACTCTATATTTGTCTTTTTTTAAAAAATATATTTTATTGATTTTGTACAGAGAGGAAGGGAGAGAGATAGTTAGAAACATCGATGAGAGAGAGTCATCGATCAGCTGCCTCTTGCACACCCTGTACTGGGGATATGCCCGCAACCAAGGTACATGCCCTTGACCGGAATCGAACCCGGGACCCTTCACTCCTCAAGCCGACGCCCTATCCATTGAGCCAAACCGGTCCCGGCATATATTTGTCTTGTTGATGGCTGATTTCTCCCTCTGTCTTCACATGTCCTTTATTCTGTGCATGCACATGTCTGTGTCCAAATTTCCTCTTATAAGGATAGTAGAGGCCTAGTGCATGAAATTCGTGCATGAGGAGGGTGTGTCCCTCAGCCCAGCCTGCACCCTCTCTAATCTGGGACCCTGTGAAGGATGTCCAACTACAGGAATTGGGCCTAAACAGGCAATTGGACATCCCTCTCACAGTGTAGGACTGCTGGCTCCCAACTGCTCGCCTGCCTGCCTTCCTGATTGCCCCTAACTGCTTCTGCCTGCCAGCCTGATAACACTGTAACCACTCCCCTGCCAGCCTGTTTGCCCCTAACTGCCCTCCCCTGCAGGCCTGGTCAACCAAAAATGCCCTCCCTTGTAGGCCTGGTCCCTCCCAATTGCCCTCCCTGCTGGCCATCTTGTGTCCACATGGGGGCAGGATTTTTGACCACATGGGACAGCCATCTTGTGTGTTGGAATGATGGTCAATCTGCATACCACTCTTTTATTAGATAGGATAGAGGTCTGGTGCATGGGTGGGGGCCAGCTGGTTTTCCCTGAAGGGTGTCCTGGATCAGGGTGGGGTTCCCTTGGGTCATGGGGTGGCCTGGGCGAGAGGCCTAAGGTGGTTTGCAGGCCGGCCATGCCCCCTGGAAACTCAAGCAGAAACCCTGGTATCTGGGTTTATCTTCTACAATTGAAACTTTGTAGCCTGGAGCAGAGCCAAGCCTCCTGCTTGTTCAGTGGCTGCTGCCATTTCTGTTGGAATTTATCTTTCATAATTGAAACTTTGTATCCTTGAATGGAGGCCTGGGCCTGCCAGGGTGTGTGGAAAGCTTGGCTTCCTCCATCACCAGGGAAACCCAAGCCTCACTACTGCTCCCTCCATAGCTGTAGCCATCTTGGTTGGGTTAATTTGCATACTTGCTCTGATTGGCTGTGGGTATAGTGGAGTGATGGTTAATTTGCATATTGTTCTTTTATTAGATAGGATAATAGATTAGGGCCCACCCTAATGACTTCATTTAATCTTAATTACCTCTGAAAAAACCCTATCTCCAAATACATTCACATTCTGAGGTACTAGGTGTTAACACTTCAACATAAGAATTGGGAGGAGGCACATAATTTAGCCTCCTGATTTTTGTGAATTCCTTACCCAGGGAAAAGGAATAACAGAAACTTGAGAAAATTAAAAGTAATTAGTCCAAAACATCATTTGAGCAGCTAACAAGATGAACTTGTGGGATTTGTTCTTATTAGGTGTGCAACTTCCTGAAGAAAACTTCATGGAAACCATTCAAAGAAATGATTCAAAGTAACTGCTTTTTCTTTCAGACCTCTTTAAATTACCTCAAAATATCTTTCCACAGATGTTTACTGAGTAAATACCTTATTTTGCCCAAAATAAATTTTGCCCTACAGATGGTTCTAATGTGTTTTTATTAGAATTGTGTACAGTTGTAATCATTCCTTCCATCATACATATTATATACAGTCACATTCAGGTATCTGAAACTAAAATAACTTACAAATTCTAATATTACTCAGAATAATTTTATCTCTATTAACAATAAAAGCAAAACCTCTGAGTTTCTCGTGGAAAATTTGAATTCAGGGCATTATTTTATAATTTGGAAATCTGAGTAATCCAACTTTAAGATGACTTTCTCATTATGGAAGTTTACTCTGTCGATGTGCGATTTGGGACTTCCTTCTGTCTCAAGCCATTCCTGCATACGACGTACTTTAGAGATGGGACCTTGCAGTTGTCCTTGCACTGTGCCCTGGTCTGTGTTCTTGACCCAGCCTACCAATCCCAGCCTTTTACTCTCAGCCTAAGGGGAAGAAAAAAACAAGAAAGAGAAATCCAGTGAGATTAAACAAAACAAAGTAAGACTACAATCTTTGCCAGAATCTTGGTCTAAAATCAAGCCACTGAAACTAATTTGATATTGTCCAGAACAGTCAAAACAGATCAAGAAGAAGAATCTCATTGCTGATTTTAATATGAAATGTTGGCCACTTCATTTCTTTCTTCTACCCTATAAAACCAAGCCAGCAGAATTTTTCACTATGTAATAAATGACGTAAGATAAAATCAGATGCTTCCAAAATGACTCCCTAAGGCTAATTATTGTTAGGATGCTGGGCTGTATTTATCTTATACATTTTCCCTTCTAATCAAGAATCTATTTGGTATATTAAACAGAAAAAGCATAAAGTTGCCTAAACCAGTTTGGCTCAGTGGTAGAGCGTCAGTCTGCGGACTGAAGGGTCCCAGGTTCGATTCCGGTCAAGGGCATATACATTGGTTGCGGGCACATCCCTGGTAGGGGGTGTGCGGGAGGCAGCTGGTCGATGTATCTCTCTCATCGATGTTTCTAGCTCTCTGTCCCTCTCCCTTCCTCTCTGTGAAAAATCAATAAAATATATTAAAAAAAAAAAAAAAAGAAAGAAAAAGCATAAAGTTATCTGATCCTTCTCTTTGTCTTTAATCAGGACCACATCTAAACAAATCCAGATGAGTAAGTGTCCATTATATCTTTAAAGATCACTAGAGAGCATTTCACAATTTCCTGGGCAACTCATTCCATTGTTCTCCCTGTAGAGAAACTGTCTAACCCACTTTTTAAAATATATATATATATATATATAAAATTGATTTTTTACATAGAGGAAGCAGGAGGAATGAGAGAGAAACATCGATTAGCTGCCTCCTGCATACTCCCTACTGGGGATGTGCCCTCAACCAAGGTACATGCCCTTGACCGGAATTGAACCTGGGCTTCTTTCAGTCCGCAGACCGACACTCTATCCACTGAGCCAAACCAGTTCCAGCTAACCCACTGTCTTTATGTTGCATCCAAAGCCCACCTTCTATCATCCTCCTAGAGAAGAAAAGGCAACTGGTTATCAGCCTCTGAAAACCAAAGTTTCATGAGATTATATAACTATTAGGTTTTGCACTTTCTTTTCTTCTTTCTAAATTGAATAAGCTTATGAAGACCATCTAATCATTATACAATAGTTGCTCTTTTCTTACCCTTTCTAGTGTTTTTCCCTTAAAGTCATTAAACTGTAGAGTCGTTGACTATTTGGAAAGGTGCCAGTGCTTAGAGGTAGATTTATTTTAGTAAAATTTCCAAGCTAAGGATATTATAAAAGTTATTGTTAAAGTAATACATCTAAATAGAAGGAATTGGATTACAAAAGAAAATGGAGTTAATATGATTGTATGCCCAAATGCCAGAGTAATGACCTAGTAAATGTGGGAAATTGCTGGAGTTAGCCAAAGATAATGTTATGCACAGCAAAACCATGTTTGATGAGGAACTGAAGTAGCCAATAAATCATATGTTCAAAGTAAAGATATAATGCATAATGAACAAAATAGATTGCAGTCAAATAAATAGCAATTTAAGGGATATAGAAGAATGTGACACTTGGAATGTGACACTTGGAAAGTTCTACAGTCTTTTTTTTTTAAATATATTTTATTGATTTTTTTACAGAGAGGAAGGGAGAGGGATAAAGAGCTAGAAACATCGATGAGAGAGAAACATGGACCAGCTGCCTCCTGCACACCCCCTACCAAGAATGTGCCTGCAACCAAGGTACATGCCCTTGACCGGAATCGAACCTGGGACCCCTTGGCTGCAGACTGACACTCTATCCACTGAGCCAAACTGGTCTCAGCAGTTCTACAGTCTTAACTCATTATCTTTGGGGCTGGAGATACCCTGGGTAGGCAATAGCCTGATAACCCCTACAGAAGACAGAAGGGAAATTGAGATTGCATTTCTGTCTGCATGTTAAGGGAAGATTAATGACCGTAAGGCAGAGGTAGAAGCTGTCAGTAGTTTGCTCATCCCTTCAATTACTCCCTAGTACTCCAGTAGGAATACCAGACTCCATGTTCAGGGTTACTGTTACTTACCCTGGAATGGATTAAGTATTTTCATTAGAAAAGCTTCAGCTAGAAAAGGTGATTCTTCTTTAAAGACAAAATGAGTACAATTGAGAGAATGGGGAAAGGTTGAAGGAGTAAGAGAGGTCTAAAGAAAATGCAGCAGCTACAGAAGATGCTATTACACCTATAATAATATGCAAATTGACCAAATGGCCAAACAGTGGCTCTTGCAAGAATTCTGTGCATAGGGCCTCTAGTAAATTACATAAATCTCATGCGTTCATCTAAATGCCATCTCCTTTATTAACGTTAGCTTTCCTATAAGAATTGTGATTGGTTTGATGATGCTGAAACAGAACTGGGGAAGCCTTCTAACCCCCTTTGGAAGAGAGCAGCTCGTTAATATGTGCCTAGTTAGAAAGTACCACTGTTAGAAAAATTAGAATAACAGCAGATTGCCCTAGCCGGAAAACTGCGACTTGCAAGCCACATGCGGCTCTTTGGCCCCTAGACTATGCTCTGCCACAAAATACCACTATTTTTGAAGAAGTGGATTAGAAGAAGTTTAAAAAATTTGGCTCTCAAAAAAAATTTCAGTTGTCGTACTGTTGATATTTGACTCGGTTGACTAATGAGTTTGCCAACCACTGGCCTAGCTGGTTTGGCTGTGGGCCTGCAGACCCAAGGGTCCCGGGTTCAATTCTGGTCAAGGGCAGGTACCTGGGTGGGTTGCAGGCTCCTGGTTGGGGTGCATACAGGAGACAACCATAGATGTGCTTCTCTCACATTGATATTTCTCTCTGTCCCTCTCTCTCCCATTCTGTCTAAAAATCAGTGGGGAAATGTCCTCGGTTGAGGATTAAAAAATAACAACAGCAGATAAATCTGCCATCTGTATTGTATTATATTTTGCCCACTGCAAAGCATGCTCATCCCTCGGCTCTACAAACCCCCTTTGACGTGGGGCTGCTAAACAGCCGGCTGCTCCCACCGCACTTGGCCAGGAACGCACCCAGGCACATCCCGGATCCCGCGGACCACCTACCTGAGTGTACTTGCGGAAGAACACCCCTTGCACCTTCCCAAAAACCTCATAATCCATTGATATCAGTGTGTCCCCTTCTGCCATGTTCATGCTCAACCCTGTGGGGCATCAGAAGAACAGAGAAGCAGACAGGGCTCAATATCCTATACCAGAACCCCCAATCCGGGGCGGCGACCCTCCCGGACCTAAGGTCCCCCAGCTTCAGGGTATGTAAGAGGATACGCGAAAGCGAGGGCGAGCGAAGGAACAGGAAGGCACCTGGGCAAGGGAGTTGGGGTCGCAGCTGCCCACGGAGGCCTCTCGGGGGACAATTACCTTCGTGTCCCATTCCCTCCCCACACCGTCCCGCTCCCTCCCCATCCCTCCTCCCCATCCCGCCCGCTTCCCACGGACCTCGCTTCCACACGCCGCAGAATCCTCTTCCACTAACATCTAAGGCTAACGGGGCTGAGGGGCACCCCCGGCCTGGGCTCACCCCCTCGGCCCTCCCGCCCGGAGGCCGGCCCGGTATCGGCAACCACCGACCACCACGCCAACGGCTCCCCGCGCCGCTAACCGCCGCTCCGGAAGCTCAGAACGCAGCTCTTCCTTCGCATCCCGTCACGTCTGATGACCAATCAGGGACGGCGCGCTCGGCCCAGAGCCCGCCCAGAGGGTGGGACTTGGGGACCGGTTGTCAGGGACAGCTCTGTAGCCTTGGGCTGGGAGGATTTGTCCTGAGGGGGGCCTTTTTTTTTTTTTTTTTTTAATATATTTTATTATTTTTTACAGAGAGGAAGAGAGAGGGATAGAGAGTTAGAAACATCGATGAGAGAGAATCATTGATCAGCCGCCTCTTGCACATCCCCTACCGGGGATGTGCCCGCAACCAAGACACATGCCCTTGACTGGAATCCAACCCGGGACCTTTCAGTCCGCAGGCCGATGCTCTCTCCACTGAGCCAAACCGGTTTCGGCAGGAGTGACATTTTAATGTAATTCTCCCGGCTTTTCAGAAAACGGCTACTGTCAACACTAGGTATTAAAGATTATGTAAATTATAATAAAGTTCCCAACAGCAATGGTTGCTTCAAAAGGAGCGCTCTCCAGGGTGTCCAGCTCAGATTCCGTAGACCTCACCTTCACCCTTTCTCTTTTTTAAAAAAATTATTTTTAAAATCTTTATTGTTGAAAGTATTACATATGTCCCCCACCCCCGCCATTGACTCCTTCTAGCCCTCCCCCACCCCACCCAAAAACCTCATAATCCCCCACCCCAGGCCTTCACCACCCTATGTCTGTGCCCATGGATTGTGCATACATGCAGACAAGTTCTTTGGTTGATCTCTTCCCACCTGCATCCGTTTTCTCGTGGGGAGAAATACGAAGAAACACAAGATAAATTCATTCATTAAACATTTACTGAGAGCCTCTGTGTGTCAGGCACAGTCTTAGGCAGTGGTTGACATACTCCAGTGAACAAAAAGGATTCCTGGAGGAGCTTACGTTCTGGAGATGGAGACGGACGATCAACATTAAACATCACGAATAAATTGAAGAGGACACTTGCAACCTTTCTGCCTGGACTTTTTCTTTCAGTTCTCAGTGTTAAGTTCTGCCTAAGCCTGGATCCGGGAGGAGGGGAGATAAATGTATGGAGGTCCTATGGTGGTTATGTCATACTGAAAACTGCTGACCAGAGTCTGTCTTTGGGTTGTTTGTGTACATAACATCTCGTCATGACACGAAACTCCATGTGTGAGTATGCGGTGTTGGCAGATTTGGCAAGGAGAGACAGACTTGCCTTGGAAGTCGTGGGTATCAATCATTTCATTAGTTCCCCACTACAAAGTGAGGCTCTGAATCCTGGAGGGTCACATAACCTCAGTGCTAGCATTGGGGAGGGAAATGGAATTGAATGTTATGCTTGGTAATATTTGAAAATAATGCTAAAGAGTACCTGGCTGATGTTTCTTTAAGACTCATTTAAAAGGCTAGTTTCTCTAGAATTAAAAACCAATTGAGTGTCTGCTATGTATAGGACACTGTTGAATATACCAAGATAAATGATATAGCCCTGGCTGGTTTGGCTCAGTGGATACAGCATAAGCCTATGGAATGAAGGGTCCTGGGTTCCATTCCGGTCAGAGGCGCATGCCTGGGTTTTGGGCTCGATCCTCAGTGGTGGGGTGTGCAGGAGGCAACCGATCAATGATTCTCTTTCATCATTGATGTTTCTATCTCTTCCTCTCCCTTCTTCTCTGAAATCAATAAAAATATATTTTAAAAAAGATAAATGATATAAAATCATTGTCCTCAAAGAATTTTGAAATTCAGTGTAAGGAACAAATATGCATACAAATAATGACAATGCAGTGCACAACATGCTAATTCAGTTCCATGGACATCCATCAAGAGCTTGTCAGGAGCCCGCCCTGTGCTAGAACAAGAACAAAAAAAATATCACGAGAGCACAAAGGAGCAAAGAGATTCGTTCTGACAAAGAGGAGTGGGAAAACATTCTTGGAGGAAACAGCATATTATCCAACCACAACCAGTAAGTGGTGGAGCTGGGATTTACTTCTAAGGAGTCTAAGTATACTCCCATACATGCTATGCTTTACTGCTTCCCAGGATGTGGAGTGGAGGCTAGGAAGTACCACTGAGGTAAGATAGTGCAGGTAGTCAGGTGTGACTATGCTAGGGTTTCTCAGTCCTAGCTGCACATTAAGCCTTCAGGAGAAGACTCAGCGGGTGGGAGTGTTGTCCCATACACCAAAATGGTTGTGGGTTCAGTTCTTGATCAGGGCAAATAACTAGGTTGTGGGTTCGGCCCCGTGTGGGAGGCAACCTTTCAATGTTTCTCTTACATCAATGTTTCTCTCTCTCTAAAAATCAATAAACATATCCTCAAATGAGGACTTAAAAAAAAAAAACAACTTTAGCTGAAACCGGTTTGGCTCAGTGGATAGAGCTTCAGACTGCAGACTGAAAAGTCCCTGGTTCAATTCCGGTCAAGGGCATGTACCTTGGTTGCAGGCACATCCCCAGTAGGAGGTGTGCAAGAGGCAGCTGATGGATGATTTTCTCTCATCAATGTTTCTAGCTCTCTATCCCTCTCTCTTCCTCTCTGTAGAAAATCTTTAAAATATATATTTTTAAAAGTTTTAGGGAGAGCTTTTTAAAATGCTAATACCCCGGTCTCCTTCCCAGAAATTGCTTCCCAGGTAGTACGAAAGCACAGCCAGCGTGGAAACCCATGGGACTATCCTCTGGGGAGGCAGGGCTTGAAAGGCAGGCTGGAGGTTGAAATGCCAGGTTAAAATTACGCATCCCAACTTTATTCCATAGGCAAAGCAGAAGCCTCTGGGTAGGAAAATGATAGGATCAGGCATATTTAGGATAATATTCTGACAGCAGCACGAATGATGGGCTTGAAGATAAGAATTGCAGTTAGGACATGATGCTTACCGCCCCAAAAAGAAGTGAGGGAGAACTGGTCACGGGCAGTAGAAATGTAAGGAAGAGTCATGTGGGAGACATTGCAAGCAAATTCAGCAGAGCCTCCTGTCCAGTTAGAGGGAAGGGATGACAAGGAGGGAAGAGGAGAAGGTGACTGATGCTCTCCATATGAGAGGGAACACCGGAGGAGTGGGTTGAGGGAGTGAGGAGATGACCATGAGTTTGTTTTCTGTCATCTTCAGTTCGAGATTTCTGAGGCACTAAATGGGGAGTTGGAAATTTGAGTCTGTAACTAAGGAGAGAGATCATTTAACAGAGGTGATACCTGAAATTTCAGCATCTGGTTGAAACCACGAAGGAAGAGAATGTCTGGACCTGCATTTATGTCTGAGAAATAAGAGGGCTTTGGAGAACATCTAAACTTGGGGGGCAGGGGAGGAAAAGACAAATGCCAGAAGAAGGCAGGCGGAAGAAGACAGAGCAAGAACATGAAAGAAGAAAACAAGAAGGCACAGGAGCAAGTGAGAAGAGAGTCCCAGGGAGTGAAAAGTCAATAATATCAAGTAAGTAGGCTGAAGAAGTAGCAGCTTTTGTCTTTGGTCATTGGATGGTCACTGGTAGCCTAGCAGTTAAATAAAGTGGAAAAAGTGGAAGCCACACCACAACAGACTGGACCATGAGGGGGAGATGAGAGAGAAGGGGCAGCAAATGTAAAGTTTTCTACGAAGAAGTTGTGGAGAAGAGGAGAAATGAGCGGGGCCGTACATAAAAGGCAGCAGGTCAAGGGAAATAAGGTTTGTTTTGCAGGGGAAATAAAGCATACAGGGATGGGCAAAAGTAGGCTTACAGTTGTAATACAAAGTAATAGTACAATATTTAATAAATAATAATACAAGAACAAACTGTTTCGTGTACTTGCCACTGTAAACCTTGGCAAGGTTTTGTTATTTTGAAACCAAATTGAAAGAGTATGTGGCTAGATACCACTTGAAGTTAACACGATGGACTCCATTCCTAAAGGGACTAATTCAAGAAAACTCATGGAAAGAGAAAGGTTCTTCACCCCCAGGAACAAGAAAGAAAGATGTCAAGTTGGAGAGAGGCACGCTAGGAAGTGGTGCCAGACTGGAAGGGAGCTACTTGAGCTGATGACAGGCAGGCCTGTGTGCTCAGATAATTGGAACCTTAAGAAGAGTGGAAAGTATCTGGGACTGCATATAGAGAAGGCAGGAGAGTCAGCGAGGGAAGAAAACAAAGAATTAAAAAAAAAAAAATGTCCTTGTAATCTGTAAAAGCTGTAAGATGACCTGTTAAAGGAGTAACACCGCGGGCTGCTGTCTGTGCTATTTTCCATGTACGTGAATCTTTTAAGCCGTCACAGAAAAAAAGCTGCCTGTTGCCAAGCAGCTCACACAGATGACCTGAAGCAAATAAAGTCTCCTGAGGCAAATAAACTCTCCTGATGTTAACAAGTCTCCGAGTATCACCGAGTGTTGAAACCAGGTTTAGACGGATGCTTTTTGATCTGGTAGTTAACTTTATGATCATTACGTGTGGTTGAGTCATTCTTGGGCCCTAAGAAGAGACTGCCAGAGGTACCACGGGAGAGTAAAACACTACATCAAAATAATGAGATCGGAGGGGAAAAAAGGAGGGCTCCGCTTCATCCCCACCCGCAGCCTCCGCCGCAACCCCAGCCTGGACCGCAGCAGCCCGGCCGCCGGGGGGCAGCTGGATAAAAAACAGGCCAAAAAGGCAGTGGGAGCTCTGTGGACACATTCCAAGTCCAGGAAAAACGCGAATGGATTGCTTTTAAATGAGAATGAAAATTTCTTTTTAATGGTGGTACTGTGGAAAACCCCAAGTAAAGAACTGAGGGTCAGATTGTCCTTGCCTCATGGTATTCGGTCAGATTTAGCAGATGTCTTGTTTATTTACTAAGGACGAACCCAAGGTAACTCCTGAAAAGACGGAACGATTTTATAAGAAGCTTCTAAAAAAGCATGGAATAAAAACCATTTCTCAGATTATCCCCCTCCGAACTTTAAAAAACGGAGTATAAAGTCTATGAGGCCAAGCTCCGCCTCCTGGGTAGTTTCAACTTGTTCCTTTCTGATGCAAGAATCCGACGGCTCTTACCCTCACACCTTGGAAGACATTTCTATAAGAGAAAGTTCCAATACCTGTAATTCTTAAAGCCAAGAATCTTTCCAAAGAGATCAACACATCAATAGGTGGGACTGTCTTAAACATCTCTAAAAGTGGTTCTTGCAGCACTATCCGCGTTGGTCACACTGGAATGCAGGTTCAGCACCTCATCGAAAACATTGTTGCTGTCATGGAAAAGCTTTCACAGAAATTGCCAGAGAAGTGGGAGAGTGTGACACTCTTGTACGTGAAAACTGAGAGATCAGTTGCCCTTCCTATCTTTTCTTCATTTGTCAGCAGTTGGGATGAAGCTAAAGGAGTGAACATTTCTAGTCTGAAGAAACAAGAAGCAAAGAAATTACAAAAACAAAAAGAACATAAAAAGAAACAAAAGGAAAAGAAACAGAAAGCCTTCGAAACAGGGCAGAAAGTCTACATCAGCCCTACCTACAGAGGATATGGCCCCAAAAACTTGTGGTTCTCCAGTGAAGGGCCTTGGACCCCAGAAGAAAGAGACCCCTCAGCCTGAGAAGAAAGAGACCTGCAAAACAAAAGCCCAAAATACAGTGCCAGTTGAATCTGAAGAAAAAATTCCATTCCTGGTCCCAATAGGAGAAACTCCTGCCAAAGGAAAAGTAGAGGTGCAAAAACAGGCCACAGGAGAGAAGTCTCCAGTAAAGAGTCCGGGTTCCAACCCACCTCGTGGGAAGAAGAGAAAGGCCTGTCCAGCTTTGGAGATGCCGAAAGCACCAGAGCCCAGGACCCCAGGTAAAGGCCCAGGGAAGAAGCCCCGAGTCAAAGAGGAAGTGGAAAAGCAAAGAAACTCTCCTTTGGGGGAAAAAGACCCAAAACAGATGCCCAAAAAGCCAGAGGCCAAATTCTTCACTACAGCTAATAAATCTGCAAAAAAAGCTTCTCGTACCCCCCCAAAATTGGGCCAAAAACGCAAAGTGCCCCAGTCAACCTAAAGTCAGTGACTTGCCCAGGAGGAAACATCGGAGCTGCCTGGAAAGCTTTTGAAAAATACCCAGGTCCTGACCCCTGTCACAGCCTTCTCCAAGAGTGAGACCTGGCCTTAAAACCTTCTGAGTGACTCTGATGTATCGTGTGTGTAAGAACCAGTAGTTTAAATCCATTAAAATTTTTTTTATGTATTACCTAATATAATAGAAATTACAGTGCTTTTATTAAAGTGTAACACTTGAAAAAAAAAAATAATGAGATTGGCCGGAGAAAACTACCCCAGAGAGACACTGCGTAGCGAAGCCAAACTGCTAAAATCTGATCGCAAAGTCTAACCTGTGGCCCGGGAAAAGCACAGAGACGGTGCCAGCCTCACCTGGGCCGGACCCCGCAGCCGCTGGGGGCTCCCGGCAGCCGCTCCGCTAAGGGGCGGACCTCGGGCCGCGGCGCAGGGTGGAGGGCAGAGCTGGGGGCTCCCGCTTCGGCCGGGGAAGGGCCCGCCCCGGGTCTGGCGTCACTGCTCTCAGACAAATACCAGTTTGTGTGTGTGTTTTGCGAAGTCCCAGAAAAAGCCTCTCCCGTCCCTCCCCTATCCCCCAAGGGCACGGAGGAGCAGAGTTGGCGGGACACTGGGTTCAAGGGACAGTCAAACCGACCAGCAACACCTCCCAGGCCGCTCCCCGTCGTGTTGACTGCGCCTGTGCGCGATCCCCCTCCCTTTTCCCCTCCCCCTCCTCCTCCCCCTTCCTCTTCCCCTGCCCCGTCCCCTCCCCACGGCGGCCGCGGCCGGAGGCGGGGCTGCACGCGCACGCGCTGCGTCTCCAGGCAACGGGGTCACAGCGGCGGGCGGAGGGCGCCTGCGCGGGGCGGTGAGTGGGGGCTGGCGCCGGGAGTGCTCCGGAGCGGAGTGGTCTCCGAGCGCCTCAGGTAGGCGGGAGGGCGGGGAGGCCCGGGGTCAGCGCCTCGCCCTCCCCAGGGCCGGATGGACACACTGAAGGCTGGTCTCCAAAGCGGGGTCCCCAATGGGACGCCCCGGCTGACCCCCAAGGACAGAATGGGACTTCCGTCACAGACCTAAAACCCGCGGCGGTCGGGTCAGGTGCCCCCCCGCCCCCCTTTTCAGGTTACTCACCTCCCTCCGCTGGGGCTCGCTGGGGAGGGGTGACAGCCGGGCACCTGCCGCCGCCCCGAGCGGCTGCCCTGCAGGAGGGAAGCCCTGTGTGCCAGCCTCCTACCTCCGGGCCTTCTCACCTGTAAAGTGATGGGGCTGGACCTGTAGTCTTTTTTATTTATTTATTTTTTAATTTATTGAGTTTTTACAGAGGAATAGAGAGTTAGAAACATCGATAAGCCGCCTCCTGCACCCCCCCTCCCCCCCGGGGATGTGCCCACAACCAAGGTACATGCCCTTGACCGGAATCGAACCTGGGACCTTTCTGAGCCAAACCGGTTTTGGCTGCACTTGTAGTCTTAAGGTCCCTAAATGACAGTCATGGAACTGAGCCAACTCCTCAGTTTATGGCGGAAAAATTGGAGCTCGCAAGGGGAAGTGGCTTGTCCCGTGTTACAGAGCTAAAACCCGACTTCCAATCCAATGGCTTTGTACCCATACGGAGAACACTGTGTGTGCCAGGAGCATCCCTGTGCACAGCAGAGGCTGGTACTGGGATAGGGGAAGGGTAGGCGGCAGGAACATCTGTATCACATTCATTTTCCTACCTCGAGGACCTAGTAAGCATTCCCAGGACAAAATAAGTCCTCACCAATGCTTACTAAAGGAAAACTCTAGCAGACCCAGCACCATTGTCCCTAAAAAGCTTAAAGGAAAACGTGGGAAGGATACAAATAGAAATAGTTTGCTTCAATGACCAAGGTGAACCTCAGAAAGAAGCTTCTCACCTGTGTCTGCTTTAAATCTCCTCTAGGCTTCAATCCAGACCCCGAATGGCTGATCTCCACTTGCCACCACCTCTGCCTGTGGGTGTGATGCTCCCGCACAATAAAAGGAAAGCTCCCGGGCTCCGCTCCAGTAAGCAAGACCCCTACGAGAAAGGCGACTCTCCCCAGCTGACCTCAGCGGGGCACCTGAGGGATAATTCCCAGGAGAAGCTCTTGAGCAACCAAGAGCTGACGCTGAGTCATCTCTATACGCACAACACACGGAACCCCGGTGAGAAAGCTGGCAGCTCCTTCTATCCCCACCGTGCTGGACTCAGCCAGCAAGACCCAAAAAGCCACCTCCAGAGCCAGGCAAAGGATTTGTTTTACTCCTCAGGCCCTCAGGCCCGGTATCCCAAAGCGAGCAACCACGAGTTCATCCCCTTTACGAAGAAGCGAGTCGGAGTGGACCGGGCGTACCCCCTGAAACCCGTGTTCCACCGGAAGTCTCATAGCACAGGCGAGACCGGCCTGGATGGGGACCAACACGTCTCGCCGAGACCCCCCGTGCCCAGGGAGTTCCCGTACAGCGGCTTTGGTTTGAGGAACTGGGCCAGTTCATCTGTGGTTGGTACTGTGGTTGCCGGGCAGGAGGAGAGGCCTGTGGCAAACCCCACCCGGACTGAGTGGATGCAGATCCAAAGACTAGAAGCTGCGGGGGAGAATTGGGAGGAGGAGATCCGAAGGAAAGAGACCCTCCTGCGGGAAAAGCTGAAGAAGACAGAGGAAGAGCTCAGGAGGATCCAGAAGGAAAAAGAACAGTCTGAGGACAATGAAAGAAGAGAGTTCCAGAGACTGGCCCTCTCCAGGAGGAGACTGAAAGGTTATAGCAGCACCCCCTACAGACCCGTCTTCTCCCCCGAGTATGGCTCTCAGGAGGTCTTCAGTGGAGAGGATGAAACGTGGGGAGGGTCCCAAGAAAACTGTAGTCCGTTCCACTTCTCTGGTTATGGGCTACAGAAGCTCAAAAGGGAAAGGCTAGTGGCAAGCAATCACAAAACCCGAGGCCAAGCCTCAGGGCAGGTGAAGGAGAAGTTTTCTCAGCCTACGGAAGCGCCAGGCGGTGTTTGGCCTGTGTCCACCAGCAATGCTAACCTGTCGAGGGCACCACACTCCGCAGGGTCCAGCCGTTCCACTGAAGAGCCAGAGCTGGGCAAATGCAGCCACTGTGGACGCAAGTTCCTCTTGCTCCGGCTGGAGAGACACTCCAACGTCTGCAGCAGGATGCAGGGTTCCAAGAGGAAAGTGTTTGACTCCTCTAGGGCCCGGGCCAAGGGCACAGAGCTGGAGCAGTACTTGAACTGGAAGGGACCAGCCTCAGTCAAGGTAACAAGGACCTTATGGATTTGACCTTGAGTGGGGAATCATTGTAAGGGCCCGTTATATCCCCATATGGTCTGTGTTTGTTTTTTTTAAGAAAAAATTTAATTGTTATAAAGGGAGAAAATGAGAGCTAACATTTATGGGTTATTACTGTGAACAGGAGTTTCATACGACCCTCACCACAAACGTGAGGACTTAATCTCTTATCGATTCAAAAATCAAGTCTCAGAGAGGTCACCTTGCCTGAGATCACAAACAGCTTTAAGTGGCAGAGTCAGAATATAAAACTCGGTTGGAATGACTCCAAAATCTAGTCATTTGTTGTTGTTAATCCTCACCCCCGGATATCTAGAGAAAATTTATCACTTTCATGTAATTTATCACTCTTTTATTATAAAATGTGGTAAACATTTACTTTTAGAAAATTTAAAAGAAAAAAAAAAACCTATTCTGCATTTCACTACCTTGAGAGAATTCCTTTCACTTTGCAATATTGCCACCTTCCAAGATTAGAATCTGTTACTACTCCTGTACTTTTTCAAGTCTAGCTCAGTTTTTACATACCTTCTAAGATACATGAAACACAATTACGTTTGGAATTCTTCTCTCCATTTAGAGTATAAACACTTTAAAAAGTAAATGAGTATTTTTGGCTAACATTTCTAGCTGCAGAAAACCTAGGCTGTAAAAAGTGAGGATTGGGACATTCCATGACAAGCTTAGGGCCACTTCAGTGGCACATTTGGGCCATTAGATCTGGAGGGGATTGCCCCGTGAATGAATACCACCCTGTCAAGGTGATGCCATTCATTTTGTAAATGAGTGTTTCTCAGAGTCTGGCATGCTGTCAGACGTTTTTTATTTTAGTAGTTTTAGTATTTGTTAAAAATTACAACATTATTATGCCCTTGATTTCTAAGAATCTTGAATTTAAAGAAAAATGTTAATAGGGGGATAAAGTGAATGTGGTATGCATCACTTTATAATCAACGTTTGTGAAAGTCTAGACCACATGATCTCAAAGCCTCTTCCAGCTCTAATATTCTAGCAGCACGTGAGAATCATTCTGTTTTCATTTTTTAAATTAATTTCTTTTAGAGAGAAAGAGGAAGGGATGAAGGGAGGAAAGGAGGGAAGAAGAGAGAGACACAGAGAGAGAGACATTGATTTGTTGTTCCATTTATTTATGCATCCATTGGTTGATTCTTGTATGTGTCCTGACCCAAGATCAAACCTGCAGTCTTGGTGTATAGAGACAGTGCTCTAACCAACTGCCAGGGCATTACTACAGTATAGTGGTTTATTTCTGGCCAGAACGTAAAAGAATCTCGTGTTTCTTAAGTTCCTAAATACAGTAGCAGTGAAGCAAAAGATTTGGGTGTCTGAGATCAGATACCCTTGCATTGTGGAAACTAGTTTGGGGGAATATGTTGCATTGAGGACAACAAGGCAGAAGCGATCTGTTTTAAGATGCATCCCCTCCTTGGAATATCCTGTCTTATTCCCAAAGTTTGTGCCCTTAGAAGCTGAGTAGTTTCTCTCTCTCTCTTTCTCTCTCTCAACATATTTTATTGATTTTTTACAGAGAGGAAGGGAGAGGGATAGAGAGCCAGAAACATCAATGAGAGAGAAACATCGACCAGCTGCCTCCTGCACACCCCCTACAGTGGATGGGCCCGCAACCAATGTACATGCCCTTGACCGGATTTGAACGCAGGACCCTTCAGTCCACAGACTGACTCCCTATCCACTGAGCCAAACCGGTTTTGGTGGCTGTGTCTCCCTCTCATTCTTCTAGTGCAGTGGTCGGCAAACTCATTAGTCAACAGAGTCAAGTATCAACAGTACAATGATTGAATTTCTTTTGAGAGCCAAGTTTTTTAAACTTAAACTTCTTTTAATGTCACTTCAAAATAGAATCACCCAGGCTGTAGTATTTTGTGGAAGAGCCACACTCAAGGGGCCAAAGAGCCGCATGTGGCTCGGAGAGCCTCAGTTTGCCAACCACGGTTCTAGTGTATTCAGAAGAACAAGTGATTTTTCGTATATCATTTAATATTCATGTAACTTTCAGTATACTCATACCTCTTTTTTTGAAAAAATATATATTTTATTGATTTTTCACAGAGAGGAAGAGAGGGAGAGAGTTAGAAACATAGATGAGAGAGAATCATCGATCAGCTGCCTCTTGCACACCCCCTACTGGGGATGTGCCCGCAACCAAGGTACATGCCCTTGACCGGAATCGAACCCGGGCCTTTCAGTCCGCAGGCCAATGCTCTATCCACTGAACTAAACCGGTTTTGGCACTCATACCTCTTGTCTCCCCACTGGACCATAAGCATTTGAGCATAGAATGCCACATTTTGGTACTTTGTGATTGTGCTAATTGAATAAAATGTCAAAACAACGAAGAATATAAGTATCATATAGTGACAAACTTTTCTAATTCAGTTCCTGGACACCACCTCCAACACAGGTTCTCTTGCCTTCTTGACTATTTCAATAAGACTCTCCTGATGAAGCCTTCCTTTTCCTTTGATAACAACTCTTCCTAGTATTCATCATTAATGATGTTCATCACTTGCCTTCTTTTTAAGAGTGGTTTTATTTTAGTCTAAATATTTGAATACATTTTTATAACCATGAGTACTGCCATTGTGGTGAAATTACAATTTTGTGTTAAACCAGTGGTCAGCTTTCACATTATAATAACCACATATATTTTGTTCACTGATGAGTGAACAAATTCTGTCCTGCCCACATGCACCTGGTGTTAATAATTGACTCATGCTGAAACCGGTTTGGCTCCGTGGATGGAGCGTCAGCCTTCGGACTGAAAGGTCCCTGGTTTGATTCCAGTCAAGAGCATGTACCTTGGTTGCGGCTGATTGATGTTTCTCTCTCATCGATGTTTCTGGCTCTCTATCCTTCTCCCTTCCTCTCTGTAAAAAAATTAATAAAATATATTAAAAAATAATTGACTCATGTTTTCAAATGTACTTTATCTCTCTATATTTTTTTTTAAATGATTCAAATACAAGCAAATACACACACTCCAGAAGCAGCAACAAAGCAGATACCAGGAAAACATTTTTTTAATGAAAAACTATAGTATCAACAAAGGAGTATTAGAAGAAATTGTGTCCATAAAACAGAAGAATATATACACTGTGAAAAAGGAACAAAGAGCCAGAAAGGCCTGGCAGGTGTGGCTCAGTTGGCTGCTTCTGGAGTGTGTGTATTTGCTTGTATTTACTTTTTTTGGTCTCGTGTTCAAGCTTACTCAAATATCTGGTAATACTTGTCTGTCCATTCATATTTAAGCTTAATTGGGCTTGTTGAGTAAGGACCTTCATATTAGGGCTATCAAATAGCCTTTTAATTGCCGTCTCCCAGAGCCAGCGTCTGTGGCTTTTCTCTCGCCTTCTTGGCGCAGCCAGAGACCCCTTCAGTCTCCTAAGAAGGTGCCGTGGTTTGGCACCCTGGGAGCCACGTGAGGGAAGGAGCTGACAGTTCTGCAGTCCATCATGTGCACTTGTACTTGCTCCCTGTTTTCAGCCACAAGATTAACCCTTTCCCCCCTGTGTCTGGATTTCGTGAATCTGACACCTGTCGGGTTCAATTTCTCCGGAGAATAAACTCCTGTTCTCCTGTGAGGGTGTGGATGTCCCGGGTGGGATAGCAGCCCTGGGTCCTGGCACTTTCCAGCCCTGAGGCTCTCCAGGTCTCTGCTGGGGATCATGGCTTGCTTCTCCGTACTCATCCCCCTTTGTAGGCCCTCCGGATAAGTGCCTGCAAGTCAGGATTAACACCCTGTTTCCTTATGGTCATTCTGGTAGAGACTTAGGAGATGAGATAAATGCCAAGTTGAATGACCGGTCTGCCTTCTACTTATAGGCTGAAGCTCCACGGAAGAGCAACTGGAGACAGAAGCATGAATCTTTCATCCGCACCCTACGCCAGGCTCGCGAGGTCCAGCGGGTAATTGCCAAAGGTGGAAACCCCTCCGACCTGCCTCCCATCCTGCCTGCAGAAAATCCCGACTATATCCAGTGTCCGCACTGCAGCCGTCACTTTGCTCCTAAGGTGGCTGAGCGGCACATTCCCAAGTGTAAGACCATCAAGAACCGTCCTCTGCCTCCGAGGAAGCATTCCAGTTGAGGACACCTCCTCAATAGTTCCAGAAAGCTCTGTTTCTCTTGAGCGGTACGTCGGAGTAGAATGATTTGATGCAAAGCAGGAAGAACTAGAATTTTTACACCTCCCAGATCTGCCTGCAGAGCTGAAACCAGGGAGGAGAAACCCACTGCTAAGCAGCAGGAGACAGAAGGAAGCCTCAGCCTCCCACCGATTACCACCTCAGGCTGGTGTGCCTTATGTTATTGCCCTAAGAACTGGTGGGTGAAGACAGTTAAGAGTAGCAAGCAGCCTACATTAAAGCTGTCTTCTCACAAGCTGCCTTGTGGTTTGTGCTAGCTAAGTGCCTGCCTCTGTCTCTGGCGCCCGCTAACTCTTCTCGTTCTTGCGAGAAGTTGGCTCATTCGGATGAGTTTGGTGTCAGAGGATCAAGGTCGCCCAGATGATATCTCATAAAAAGTGATACGATTTCGCTGTAAGGCAAATGGAAGTCTATCCTGGACCTCCCTGGTGCATGGTCCTGGCTAAAAACCAATACAGAGTATGTAAGGTTAGAGTGCCAACACATCCTAAACCCTCCCTTTGGTGTTCTGTGTCATAAAGGGAACCTCATCTTCATCTCTCACAGGTAGGGATGGGGGAAAACACACTATATGTCCCTGTCATCGTTCTTTTCTAATGTCAAGGGGAAGAAACTTCAGTGTCAGCTATTGCCTGCTTTCAAACCAGGTTGGTAAATTGGATGGATGGCATTTCAAATGAAACAGCAAAATGTACCATCAAAGCAAGCTGTATATTGCTATGCACATGTCCTCGCTGACTATACCACAGGTAACTTCTTCTTTAGAAAGCAAACTTTGAAGGGTACCAGATCTCTTTCATTTTCTCTGTGCAGAGTCATGCCTACTGCAAGTAACCTTTATAATTAGACCCCCCAATAAATGGGTTTGTGGGATTTAACATCAAACAAATAATTAGTCCTCAACTTGCCAAGTGGGAGCAGTGATGAGATATATCTGACAGGGTAGGGTCAGACCTGGAATAATACCAGTAGCATCATTGTCCTGAGAGCATTTACTCAAATTATTAGTTTAAAACACTGGGAAAAAGTCACCCAACCTGACCCGGGCACAGAGGACAGGCACACCACAAAACCGTATTTTACTCAGCAACCAATGCCACTCACTCCTGTGTCATTTCCACTGCAGCTTCTGAGTGGCTGGGCTATCAGATCAAACCCCTTTGAAATGTGAGTTTAAGACTCTAGCTGTGAAGCTATAGGACACTAGGCTGAAAAAAAAAATTACATATTTTAAAAACAGCATATATTGATTTGATTTATGCTTTTTAACTGTTGCAAAGAAAAAAGTATCACATAACAGGGCTTTCAGTTGGCCACTTACAGAAGCCTCACATACTCACTGGGTATTTAATCCAACACAGACATTCCCCAGGCAAGTTTAACGAGGTCCACTTTGTTTCATACTTGATGGTAAAAACAATAGATGGCAAAAATGAGCTGTGGCCAACATTACTAAGAGGTGGCCTGTGGACTGCTTTGCCCCCCAGTTTATTTGGCAGGCACAGCACTGAAAACATAGCCTAGCACTGAAAAACTGGGATGTGGAGCATCTCTTACGTAACGAGGTTCTGGAAACACCAGGCCAGCCACCCTGCATCGCACTAACTGAATGAAGTTCAGAACCAGTTGCTCCTTGAGAGGGGGAGAGCATTCAGATCACCACAGCCCGTTATGTGCTTCATCTGCCTGGCCCCAAGGCACTGGGCTGGGGATCCCTGCGTGATGTTATTAAGGTCACAGATCAGGGCCCTCCGGGAGAATAAATGTCTGTGTGTGTAGGGGGCAGGGTGCTTTCTAAGACACAGGAAGCAGTTATTCACTATGTTGCCAGAGAAATAAAACAATAGTCAATGTCTTAATGTTCCCTTCAATTGCAACATGCTTAGGCCTTGATTATAGCAGTCTTTTAAATTTCGCCTGATCTGATCTTTGGGATGAGGTTGGAAACCTTTCTCTAAGTCTCTTCCTGGGTAGCAGAGGATGATGCGTGGAGAAATAAATGCTGCTTGTTAGTCTATGCATTATACTACTTCGTCCAAGAACCTTGAGTCCATGTGTTATAAAGTCCAAAAGGCTAAGCAGTGGGAAAAATCACAGTAACTCGCTGTGGGCAGACATGCTAACGTAGTGCTTAACAGCTGTGTATTTAAGGCAGCACAGTACCTTTTGGCCGGCATTTTCTTTTTGTCATCAACTTGTCACTCTTCACAGCTGCACAGGAGGTAGCTGAGATGTGATACAGTGTTCTTCTCTCTAATGTTATGATTCTGTGAGGTTTAGTGATCAGTATGTTTATTTCCAGTTAGTTATCGAAGCAATAAATGATTTTTGGCTTTGCAGCATGAAGGAATATATTTTGTAGCCCTGACTACAGCCCACTCTGCCCTGACACTATCATGAATAATACTTCTTTATAGGCCCAGGGATACTTTTTTGAAAAAAATTATTTACATCTTTGCTCCAGAGTTGGTCTATTATGAATGTTTCCAAATATATGGCAAACCAAATGAAGTGTAAGTTTAAGGTTGCTTTCACTCTAGGGAAATGCTCAGCCAAGAGAAGTTGTAACTTGGCTGTGCTATGCCAAGGCGACCAAAATACAGTACACCCTCTTATGTTTTATAAACACGAACTGGCATTATCACTTGAAAAAGCCCACTGTGATCGGGGAGGCAAGTACAAGAAGTGATCCCTCCTCTTCTAATAGCTTGTTTTATTCTCCCTCTGCACTTTAAGCACTGTATTTCATAAGTTTGTTTTTTTTGGGGGGGGTAGGGGGAGAAAGGAGCTGTAGCAGCAGAAATGATTCTGTTAGCGAGAAAAAGAAATTGGAAAGAGATTATTTCGGTGCAAATGTCCCTTGCATTGTTTGTTACAGACCACTGAATTAAAAAATTCACAAAGGTCTGGAACCTGAGTGTTTTATCCCCAGTGACAAGGTCCATGCACAGACTTACTAAGACATAGCACTGATTGAGAGTTTAAATGTTTATTCAAAATAGAAATGCCAAACCACTCCACCCTCAACCTTTCAAACATCTGGCCAACAATAAGCAAGTTCTTCAGCAACAATGTCGGAGCAGAGGAATAACTCAGGTTATACTGTAACTCAAAAGCAATACTACGGAAAACTTAAAACACCTAGCACTGTATAGAAAGCAAAGTAGAGAATTACAGAAAACCATTCAAAGACATTTCCGCTACCTCACTTCACTTTTTATCTAAGCATGGCTGCCACCTTTGAACTGGTTTCTGTTTGCATAGCTGCTTGGTGGGGAAAATAACACGGCTGTCCCAGGCACCATTTTGGAAAAGTGCAAATTGTTTCTAAGGCACAGAATTTAGATTCTCAGCCAGATTCATAGCAAACCTAGGTTTCCCAAGGGAACATGCTAGAGAAAATGACCACAGCATTCCACTGCTAGAGGGTAACTCCCCTCCGGAACAAGGACAGGGTCTCACCCTTCCTTCAGTGCTCACATCCATCACCCAGTCTCAGCAACGTCCCATGTTCCTCAGATCCACAGCAGAAGCAACACTCATGATCAACACCCAAACTGACCCGCCTCTCAGGCCTGCTGAGATGGTAAGCATGAGGGACACAAGAATGTGAAAGGCCAGTCAGTCCTTTAAAAAAATCGAAATTGCATTTACATGATGAACCAAAACCCATTATTAGGGTGTATAGGAAACCCCCAAGTCCCTAGAATTTGTAGCTTAATCCAGGGTTGGCCCCTTCCCTTATTTTAAGAAAAGGCTTCAGTGATTACATTAGTACCATTGTACTAGGCTTCCCAGAATTGAGAAAACAATGGGAACATCAAACCAAAGGAGATCCCATTGGACAGAGTCGCCCATCCCCAGCTATGGAGTTCTCCCCGGAACATCAGCCTTTACATCAGTTTCAGGGAAATGACAACATTTCCATTGCACAGATCCTTCCAAAATATTAAAAACATCAGACATTTATGATTTGGTCTAGGGAAAGGGAAATAAAACTGGAGCCGTTTCTAGGAAGGTAGGATGTGAAACTCAAGGCAGCTCCGGAACCTTCCACAAGGCTGGGTGAGATACCACGCTCACTCTCTTAAGTAAAACCATCGAAGGCTCTAGGACACTTTCTTTGGGAAAGCCAGCTTGCTCCGGTCTAATAGAATAGGGCATGACTACGGGATTAGAAGGGAGCTCAGCCACATTCCTTTCCCTTGGCAGGTTCTACCTGTTCTGTTAGGCTTCAGGGACTACCAGGTTCGGGGCTGGCTTTGGGCCACTCTAGCAGAAAAACTGATACAGATTCACTGATATGGCGTCATAAACACCAAAGGGGGAAAATACTGACATACAGAAAGGGAGTGGATGGGACTGCTGATGTCAAGATCAGAACCATAAGAGCCATGAAGGCAGAGGCGTGAGAGGCCGCCTGGGCAGAAGCCTGTCACTGTAGGCCCTCTCAAACATGCAAGCAGAGGCAGCTAAAGGACTTCCTCTCCCTCACGGTTTTCTCTTAAGGCCATTCCTGCTGCCCGACTGGCTTAATTCTCTACAAGCCACCTCATCTCTCAGAGGCTTCTTCCAAAGCTAGGAAAGCCCACCCTGCACTGGCCACAGCTGGACACTCCAGCTGTGTGATGAGGAGGGACCGGCACTTCTTTTTCTACTCCTCACCAATCTCAGAGGAAAAGCAATTGAAGCCCATTTTTCCTCCTAAAGCACTGAGCTGCACGATGTAACTGAACTTTCTAAAAACTGGCCCTAGAGACTGACTCCACCAGTCTTTCCTGGACGCAGAACTCCTGAGAGGGCTCAGAGCACACCACTTCTCTCCAGAGGACCCCGGGAGGGCCCACCTGGTTCCAGCCCACTCCAGCTTCACACTTTTCCCTCCTCCACCCAGAGGTGCAATGCCTGGTGTTGAATTCCCAAGGCAGCTTCCAATTTATGGTGAAAATGATAAGTGGGATATAAGCTGCTACCAGCAAATTAAGGTGAGCATTGTGTCTCCTCTTCAAAGGTGGGATCACCAGATGAGGTACAGAGCTGCTGTTGCTATGGCAGTCACTGAGGACCAAGCCAGGGCATGGGGCCCTTCCATTCTCCAAAACAAAACCACTCCTAGATCCTATCTATAGGCAATGCCACTCTCCAAGTGTACGTGGAAAGTGCTTCAGAGCCTCCGCCTTGCACTCCTTGTCTGCAAGTGAACAAAGCCAGGAAAGCGCGCTCTGCATTCAGTAA